TTCTTACAGCTGCCTTTTGCTGGGTTATTAGGGGTTTTAGGTGATTGGATGTTGTTGATCCCCATGCACAAATTCCATATGTAAGATAAGGGTATATGAGTGAATGGTACAGTTCCAGGAGAGCTGATTGTGGAACGTAGTACCTTATCTTTGATAGTATGCCTACAGTCTTGGAGATTTTCTTGGTGATTTGTTGTATGTGTGTCCGGAACTTAAGGCTACTGTCAAGGTGGATACCTAGGAATTTTCCCTCTGAGTCTTGTGACTGATGATCCATTTAGCGTTATGTTAATTGGATCATTTGCAGCTTTGTTTCCAAACTGAATGAAATAGGTTTTATCAGTATTCAGGGTAAGTTTGTTAGTCATCATCCAGGCAGATATTTTCTGCAATTCGGCATTGACTGTGTTTGCTAGTATGACTGTGTTTGGGTGGGAAAAGACATATGTAGTATCATCTGCAAATAATATGGGTTTGAGTAGCTGTGATGCATTTGGTAGATCATTGATGTAGATGAGAAAGAGGAATGGCCCAAGGATACTTCCTTGTGGGACTCCTACTGTGATTGGTTGGGTGGAAGAGTTTGCATCATTTGCATACACATATTGAGTTCTGTTACTAAGGTATAATTTTAGGTAGTTGAGGGAGTGGCCTCTGATACCATAGTGCATTAATTTGGAGTACAGCAGTTCATGGTCAACTGTATCGAAAGCTTTACGTAAATCAATGAAAATGCCCAGCGGGACTTCTTTCTTTTCGAGTGCTGTATATATTAGTTCTAGCATGTGTATGATAGCATCATTTGTGCTTTTATTATTCCTGAATCCAAACTGACAAGGGTTTAATATATGTTGTGTGAGACGAGGTAGGAATAGATCCGTCTATGAATTAATTTTTCAAAGATTTTAGAGAACAGTGGTAAGTTAGATATTGGTCTATATTTATTCAAGTCAGCTTGGTCACCTCCTTTGTGGATTGGAATGACCCTCGCTATTTTGAGGATTGTTAGGAAGGTAGATGATTCAGTGGATTTGTTAAAGAGCGTTGCAATAATTGGTGACAATACTTGAGAAGCTTTTTGTACATAGAAGCAGGCAAGTTGTTTATGTCTCCTGCCTTGTTTTTAAGGATGTTTATGATGACCGTAACTTCTATGGGGTTGATGGAGCTAGGAATAGCGTATTTGGGTAGGTACCTATGAGGTAGTCTGATGGACGGGTGTTTGCACTTGGTATTTTGTTCGCTAGATTTTTTCCTATGGTGGAGAAGAAAAACATTGAGTCTGTTTGCTGTTTCAGCAGGTGTGAGTAGGGGTTCATCTGATTTTGTTAGTTTGATTGTTTCTTTTTGGATAACTTTTTAGTTCCAAGAATTTCAGGTAGAGTTTTCCAGGTTTTTTTCATATCACCTTTGATGTTATGTCAATTCCTTGTGGTATTTTATATGTCATTATCATGTCTCCATTGATCCTCCTGTCTTCCAGTGTCATCAGGCCAATTTCCCTTAGCCTTTCTTTGTAGGACAATCCCCTTAGCTCTGGGACTAGTCTTGTTGCAAACCTTTGCACTTTCTCTAATTTCTTGACGTGCTTGACCAGGTGTGGATTCCAAACTGGTGCTGCATACTCCAATGTGGGCCTGACGTATATGGTGTAGAGAGTCTTGAACGATTCCTTGCTGAGATATTGGAACACTATTCTTAGGTTTGCAGATGCCCGTATGCTGTAGCAGTTATCTGAGTGATGTGCGCCTCAGGTATTATACTCATCCCAAGATCTTTTTCCTTGAGTGAGGTTTGCAATCTTTGCCCACCTAGACTCTACTCTCTCTGCTGTCTTCTTTGCCCTTCCTCGATCTTTATGAGGTTGCATTTGGCGGGATTAAATTCAAGGAGCCAGTTGCTGGACCAGGCTTGTAGCCTGTCCAGGTCTCTCTGTAGTCCTGTCTGATCCTCGACCGATTTAATTCTCATTAACTTCACATCGTCTGCAAACAATGACACTTCTGAGTCTATCCCTTCCGTTATGTCATTCACATATACCAAAATCAGCACAGGTCCTAGGACTGACCCCTATGGAACCTCACTCGTCACAGGCACCCACTCTGACACCTTGTCACATACCATGACTCGTTGTTGTCTCCCTGTCAGATATTCTTTGATCCATTACAGTGCCTTTCCTGTTATGCATGCCTGATCCTCTAGCTTTTGCATTAACCTCTTGTGAGGAACTGTGTTGAAGGCATTCTTGCAGTTCAAGAAAATGCAGTCTATCCACTCATCTCTCTCGTGTCTTTCTTCTGTTACCTTGTCATAAAACTCCAGTAGGTTTGTAACACAGGATTTTCCTTCCCTGAAACCATGCTGGTTGTCATTTATAAGCTTGTGTCTTTATAGATGCTTCACTACTCTCCTCCTGATGATCTCTATGACTCTGCATACTATACACGTCAGTGACACAGGTCTGTAGTTTAATGCCTCATGTCTGTCTCCTTTCTTAAAAATTGGGAGTACATTTGCCATCTTCCATACCTCAGGTAGTTGCCCAGTTTCAATGGATGTGTTTGAAGATTTTTGGTAGTGGCACACACAGCATCTCTGCTCCCTGTCTAAGGACCCACTGAGAGATGTTGTCTGGTCCCACCACCTTTGAGGTATCAAGTTCACATAGCAGCTTCACCTCCTTGGTTTTGTGTATTTCATCCAGCACTTGTTGATGTACCTCCCTTTTCTGACTTCCTGGAGTCCTTTCTGTCTCCACTGTAAATACTTCTTTAACCCTTTGAGGGTTTCGGCCGTACTAGTACGGTTTACGACCCAGGGTTTTTGACGTACTAGTACGCCTAAATTCTAGCGCCCTCAAATCTAGTGGGAGAAAGCTGGTAGGCCTACATATGAAAGAATGGGTCTATGTGGCCAGTGTGCACAGTATAAAAAAATCCTGCAGCACACAGTGCATAATGAGAAAAAAAACTTTGACCGTGTTTTTGGATTAAAACAGTGATTTTGCACTGTATTTTCGTATGGTATTTATTGTTGTATTCTAGTTTTCTTCGTCTCATTTTATAGAATGGAAGACATATTACAGAAATTGAGATGATGTTGACTGGTTTTACAATGAAAAGTGCCTTGAAATTGAGCTCAAAGTAGCAGAAATGTTCGATTTTTACCAAAGTTCAAAAGTAAACAAATCATGCCAAGCGTCCAATACACATCAACTGGTGAGTCTAATATTCTTTTGCAAGTGTGCCAATATTATTTATACCATTTTTTACACTAACGCAGTAGTCTACTTAACAGTAAATCTTCAATTTTTTGTGAGAATAAAAATTCAAAGTGGAAAGCAAAAGAATATAAGAGGGGGCTTGAGACATGACTAATGAACAGAGGAAATGTCATTTTAGTGCCAGGAATGTCTTTCTTGTTTATTCTGGACCCTATTCAGAAATTGGCATCTTTTGAAATTTGTGTGAAATTGGCAAAATTGCTAAATTCTGACCACTGTACTGAATAGTTGAAATTGATAAATGGGTGGTTTCTTGCACTCATTCGATAGAAAAAATGGAGTTCTAGCGAAATATTCATGTTTTTTGTCGACTAGCACAGTGGAATTGGCCGAAAAATCAGGCTCAAAGTGGGCAAAATCGCCGATGCGTAAACATCGCCGAGACCACTAACTTCGCGAGAGCATAATTCCGTAAGTTTTCCATCAAATTTCAAACTTTTGGTGTCATTATGATCGGGAAAAGATTCTCTATCTTTTCATAAGAGAAAATTATTTTTTTTTTTTTTAAATTTGGCCGACCCTGAGAACGAGTCTCGGAGAGGGCCTGTCGACCCTCAAAGGGTTAAATCTCATATTGAGCTCCTTACATACCTCTTGGTCGTTTCTTGTGAACTCCCCACCTTCCTTCCATCCTTCCTTCCTTAGCCTGATTACCTGGTCCTTGACTGTTGTTTTCCTCCTGATGTGTCTATACAACAGCTTCAGGTCAGACTTGACTTTCAGTGCTATGTCATTTTCATATTGTTGCTGAGCCTCCCTTCTTATCTGTCCGTATTAGTTTCTGGCTCTTTGGCTAATCTCTTTATTTTCCTGGGTCCTTTGTCTTGTGTACTTTTTTTCTCTACTGCACTTAGTTTTTGCCTCCCTACACGTTTGGGTGAACCAAGAACTTGTTCTAGGGTTCCCATTATTTCTGTTTCCCTTGGGAACAAACTTCTCCTCTGCTTCCTTGCATTTTGTTGTCACATAGTCCATCATTTCTCTTACTGGGTTTCCTGCCAATTCTCTCTCCCACCAAATGTCTTGCAGGAAGTTCCTCATGCCTGTCTAGTCCCCTGTTTTGTAGTTTGTTTTTTCCCTGTCTTATTCCTGCTACCCACTCCATTTGTAGCTCAACTATGTAATCAAAGCACAGAACTACATGATCTTTAGCTCCAAGGGACCTTTCGTACATGATATCCTTGATGTCCACACTACTCAAGGTGAATACAAGGCCCAGTCTTGCTGGATTACCCTCACCTCTCTCTCTCTGGTAGTGTCTCTAACATGCTGATGCACGAGGTTTTCTAGTACCACATCCATCATCTTGGCTCTCCATGTTTCGGGACCCCCATGGGGCTCCAGGTTTTCCTAGTCAGTCTCCTTGTGATTGAAATCACCCATAACTAGTAACTTTGCTCTCCCTATGTGAGCTTTTCTGGCCATCTCGGCTAGTGTGTCTACCATTGCTCTGTTGCTCTTGTATTCTTCTCTTGGCCTCCTGCAGTTCTGTGGCGGTTTGTACATAACTGCAGTTACCACCTTATGGCCCTCAGACTGGAGTGTTCCTACTATGTACTCCCTATGTATGTGTGTGTGTGCATGTGTGCGTGTGCACGTGTGTGTGCACGTGTGTGTGCACGTGTGTGTGCACGTGTGTGTGCACATGTGTGCGTGCTCACACATACGATCACCCTAATGTAACTTACAGAAATCTAATAAATTTTGTGTTTTACAGGCAAACACACACCAGTGCCAACATGTCAAAGAGAGTGGCCCACCTCCGTCCAGTGACGATCGCATCACACTGGTGGTGGAAGGCACCCGCTTCATTGTTGATCCAGCCATATTCACTGCTCACCCTAACACTATGCTTGGAAGGTTTGATGCACTCATTATTGTATGGAAATTAACCTTATGTAGTAGATTCTCCCATTTCATCACTGACCATGTGATACTGACAGCTCAGCCTAACATCATACTTGGAATGTTTAGATTTGTCATTATTGTATTGAATTAATGTGTATCTCAAGTTTGTAGATGCAGTACTGTTAATAGTGATATGTAGTTTTTATTGTGAGTATAGGTAATTATATACTTTAATTTTAAACAAGTACCAATTTTCAAGGATGTTTTCATCGGGTCTGGAATTCACACATCCTAATGAAAGAGGAGAGTTTGAGGTAGCAGAAGGCTTTTCTTCAGCTGTGTTCCGTGCAGTCTTGGATTATTATAAGAGTGGAACAGTTCGCTGCCCTCCATCCGTCAGTGTTCAAGAGCTCCGGGAGGCTTGTGATTACCTTCTTATTCCATTTGATGCCAACACCATTAAATGCCAGAATTTACGTAAGTGTTTAATTTGTTTTAAAATAAAAAATGGTTTTCTTAGCTTCCAGTATCAGCTACAAAATTATTACTAGTGTTATTTTCTCTGGTTTTCCTTAATTGTTTTTCTTTGTTGCCTCCTTCCTTCTCTGTACTTTTATTTAAGTTCATATTAATGATCAAGAAATTTTGAATACTGTAACTAGAGATCATTTTATATCCATCCTCCTTCATAGAGGGCAATCAGTTGATGCTGGCAAAAGATTCTTTATCCAAAGAATTTGAGGAATTCTTTCCTTCCTTGGATAAAGCCTGAGTGCCTTTCATTTCCCAGTCACAGTAGCAGTCAAAATGTAATATTGTGTTAATAAAAATATAACAATATCTTTATTTCTACAAGCATGTGTGAGCTTATTTGATAGGAGCGAATGGAGACAAATGATTTTTAATACTTGACATGCTGTTGGAGTGTGAGCAAAGTAACATTTATGAAGGGATTCAGGGAAACCGGCAGGCCGGACTAGAGTCCTGGAGATGGGAAGTACAGTGTCTGCACTCTGAAGGAGGGGTGTTAATGTTGCAGTTTAAAAACTGTAGTGTAAAGCACCCCTCTGGCAAGACAGTGATGGAGTGAATGATGATGAAAGTTTTTCTTTTTCGGGCCACCCTGCCTTGGTGGGAATTGGCCAATGTGTTAATAAAAAAAAATGTACAAGGCATACAGACCTAGCTGTATACCTTTACATACTACTCCGTAGAAAGCCGCTTGTTATGCAGAGCATTTCAGGCAAATTAGGTCAGTTTTGTCCTGGGATGCGATCCACACCAGTTGGCTAACACCCAGGTTCCCATTTTACTGATGGGTGAACATGGACAACCAGTATAAGGAAACACCACCAGTGTTTCAACCCTTGCCGGGAATTGAACCTGGACCCTCACTGTGTGAAGCGAAAGCTTTTGCCACCAGGCCACGGGCTTGGTGGCAAACTTTCCACAGCATTATATCAGAAATTACTTTTCCCAATTTCAGATTGCATGATAGCCTTTTCAGACTGAATCATGGCTCACTTTTACATATGATAGACTGAACCACTGTTTAATTAATGACACAGATCAAAAACCCCTCTGTGTTAGAGGCATGGTGGTGTCCACTGAAACCTGCAGCAGCATATATTGGTGCAGAGAGGGATGAGGGGATGACAATGAAGAAAATAAAGAGAGAATGAGTGAATGAATGAATTAGTGAAAGCGAGAGGAAAGGGAAGAATCATCACCTTCCTCATCAGTGTAATCTGATGCGAGAATGGTGCTGGAGGGTGAAGACCTGGAAGATGATCTCCTGGGACATGATGCTTGACTTGTAGACCACTCTCTATTCAGCTGAATGTGTGCTCCATAATCACCCAGTCTAGTGCCAGGCAACACACACCCCTACTCTTCAGAACAAACAAAGCAAACAAACAAAACAAAATTTATTTCTTTGCAAGATTACATTGAGATTATGAAAATACAGTAATGATTTGCAGTGCAAAGAGAGCAACTATTATGCCTAGGCATTAAGGGCAGACTTAATTTAATGGCTTACACGCCATTTAACACTTTGACTGTTTCGGTCGTATATATACGTCTTACGAGCCACCGTGTTTGACGTATATATACTCCTCAATTCTAGTGGCTTCAAATCAAGCAGGAGAAAACTGGTAGGCCCACATGTGAGAGAATGGGTCTGTGTGGTCAGTGTTCACCATATAAAAAAAATCCTGCAGCACGCAGTGCATAATGAGAAAAAAAACTCCGACCTTTTTTTTTTAATTAAAATGCTAACTTTGTGGTCTATTTTTGTATGGTATTTATGGTTGTATTCTCGTTTTCTTGGTCTCAATTGATAAAATGGAAAACATATTATAGAAATAAAGGTGATTTTGATTGTTTTTTCTATGAAAAGAACCTGAAAATGGAGCTCAAAATAGGGGAAATGTTTGATTTTTGCCGATGTTCAAAAGTAAACAAATGATGTCATTTTCCAATAAATGTCCAAGTAGCCATTCTAATATGCAGTCATGAATGGGTTGACATTATTTATACAATTATTACAATATTGCAATAGTCTGCATAACAGTAAATCTTCTATTTTTTGTTTGAATAAAAATTCAAAATAGAAAGCAAGAGTAATATCAGAGGGGCCTGGAGATGTGACTGATGAACAAAGAAAATGTTATTTTAGAGCCAGGAATGTCTGCATTGTTCATTCTGGACTCTATTTTGAAATTGTCATATTTTTAAATTTTCATGAAATTGGCCAAATTGCAAATTTCTGACCACGTTATTGGGTAGTTGAAATTGGTAAATGGGCAGTTTCTTGTACTCAGTCGATAGAAAAAAATGGAGTTCTAAAGAAATAGTTATGAGTTTGGTCGACTGGAACAATGGAATTAGCCGAAAATAGGGCTCAAAGTGGGCGAAATCACCGATTCGTAAATATCGCCAAGGTTGCTAACTTCGTGAGAGCATAATTCCATCAGTTTTCCATCAAATTTCATTTTTTTGGTGTCATTACAATCGGTAAAAGATTGTCATTTCACAAGAAAAAATAATTTTATTTTTTCGGAAATTTTGCGACACCAGGAGACACCTCAGGATTTGGGGTTGCGACAGTCAAGGGGTTAATACTAAAGAAATTGATCGTAGTTTGTTTAAGTTGTACATCTTTTTTTATATTTTTAGTTGACATTAATTTTACTCTAATTCTGAAGATTCTGAAGATAAGTTGCAGAGGTTGGTGGATGAATTTGGTAGGGTATGCAAAAGAAGAAAATTAAAAGTGGATACAGGAAAGAGTAAGCTTATGAGGATAGCAAAAAGATTAGGTGATGAAAGACTGGATATGAGATTGGAGGGAGAGAGTATGGAGGAGGTGAATGTATTCAGGTATTTGGGAGTGGACATGTCAGCGGATGGGTCTATGAAAGATGAGGTGAATCATAGAATTGATGAGGGGAAAAGGGTGAGCGGTGCACTTAGGAGTCTGTGGAGACAAAGAACTTTGTCCTTGGAGGCAAAGAGGGGAATGTATGAGAGTATAGTTTTACCAACGCTCTTAGATGGGTGTTAAGCATGGGTGATGAATGTTGCAGCGAGGAGAAGGCTGGAGGCAGTGGAGATGTCATGTCTGAGGGCAATGTGTGGTGTGAATATAATGCAGAGAATTCGTAGTTTGGAAGTTAGGAGGAGGTGCGTTATTATCAAAACTTTTGTCCAGAGGGCTGAGGAAGGACTGTTGATGTGTTTTGGACATGTAGAGAGAATGGAGCGAAACAGAATGACTTCAAGATTGTATCAGTCTGTAATGGACGGAAGGCGGGGTAGGAAAGGTTGGAGGGAGGGGGTAAAGGAGGTTTTGTGTGCGAGGGGCTTGGACTTCCAGCAGGCATGCGTGAGCATGTTTGATAGGAGTGAATGGAGACAAATGGTTTTTAACACTTGACATGCTGTTGGAGTGTGAGCAAAGTAACATTTATGAAGGGATTCAGGGAAACCAGCAGGCCGGACTTGAGTCCTGGAGATGGGAAGTACAGTGCCTGCACTCTGGAGGAGGGGTGTTAATGTTGCAGTTTAAAAACTGTAGTGTAAAGCACCCTTCTGGCAAGACAGTGATGGAGTGAATGATGGTGAAAGTTTTTCTTTTTCGGGCCACCCTGCCTTGGTGGGAATCGGCCAGTGTGTTAATAATAAAAAAAAAAATAATAATAATAATATCTTTATTTACTTCACGTACATGTACAAGGTATACAGGCCTAGCTGACATCAGTGACATACTACTGTATAGAAAGGCACTTGTTATGCTGAGTATTTCAAGAAAATTAGGTCAGTGTCCCTGGATAACACCCACACTAGTCAACTAACTCCCAGGTTCCCATTTACTGATGGGTAAACATAGACAACAGGTGTAAAGGAACACGCCTAATGTTTCTACCTTGGCTGGGAATTGAATATTTACCAAAAATCATATATGGCTAACCCAAGCCAGGTACTAAAAATAAGCCACGTTGACTTTTTTGGGATTATCCTAGGTTCTCTACACATATGCTGCTATGTGTGATAATCTATAGAGAGAAAATAACTTTTTTGTTTCATGTTTATGGTGGAGTACGAGTGTATATCATAGTTAGCCCTGTGCTATACTCCGTTTTCTCTAATATAAACCCCCAAGACAAGGATAGGAGAATGGTATTTGTTTACCATATCCTCTTCATAACTCTCGAACTGCTCGTGTTATGCCAAATATTATTCATTCTGGAGTATTTAACATGTTTTATGTTATTTATGTTGTTTCTTACATCATATTAGATCAATTGTGATAGGCAAATAAGCTGTAGTGTTGATATTAGCGTAATAATAAAGCATATTCTCCTGCTTCATGAGACTGAGCTCATGGCAACCGACAGTGGCTTCAAAACCACCTTATCTTTAATGGATAATGTACTGTGTAGGTGCTTTACATAATGAGAAGCATTTCTTTTATTCATTGGAACCATGGCTAGGGCTAAAAGTAAGCAGGTTAAAACAATAAATGGAGAAAAAGAAATTGGAATGACTTATGCAGCAAATAGGGCCACCAAACAGTACCAGCAGGTTGGTGTGGCGACCCTGGAAATTTGAAATTATGCTAGCCAAAATTAGTGCCGAATAACTGAAGGAACCGAATAACTGATTGCCAGATTTGTGATTGCGGACCTGTATCAGGTTTCTGTGTGATTTATATTGTTTATTATGTCATATTAGATGAAGTGAGATAGATAAATAAGCCGTAGAGTTGATATTAGCTAAATTATTGAAGGACAAAATTTCACTAGAATGGATTAATTGCATTTCAGTTAATTTAAATGAGGAAAATTGACTCTGCAAACGAACAAATCTAGTTGCGAGCAAGGTCATGGAATGGATTAAACTCGCAAGTAGAGGTTCCACTGTGCTCATTTGTACTACATGTTGTAATTTGTTTACTGTAATTTTTATCACTGAATATATAATTACTTAGTTAATCTTAAGTTAATTTTAAGCCTGACCATAATGCTCTGCATACAAGGGGCTTTTGGCATGTACACCCAGTCACTATATTTCTTTGTACAACTATGTATCATGTCCAAATTAAAAATAAATAAAAAATAAATCAGTCATGCTGGTACCATACTATCAGTCATGGTGGTAACCATACCATCAGTCAGGGTGTTAATCACACCATCAGTCATGGTGGTAACCATACCATCAGTCATGGTGGCAACCATACCATCTGTCATAGTGGTAACCATACCATTGGTCATGGTGGTAACCATACCATCAGTCACGGTGGTACCCATACCATCAGTCATGATGGTACCCTTACCATGAATCATGTTGGTACTCTTACCATCAGTCATGGTGGTAAACATGCCATCAGTCATGGTGGTAAACTTACCATCAGTCATGGTGGTAAACATACCATCAGTCATGGTGGTAAACATACCATCAGTCATGGTGGTAAACATACCATCAGTCATGGTGGTAAACATACCATCAGTCATGTTGGTACCATACCATCAGTCATGGTTCTAACCATACCATCACTTATGACAGTAACCATATCATCAGTCATGGTGGTACCCATACTATCATTCATAGTACCCATAACATTAGTCATGGTGGTACCCATACCATTGGTCATGGTGGTAACCATACTGTCAGTCATGGTGGTAACCATACCATCTGTCATAGTGGTAACCATACCATCATTCGTGGTGGTAACCATACCATTGGTCATGGTGGTAATCATACAATTTGTCATGTTGGTTCCATACCATCAGTCATTGTAACCATACCATCAGACTTGCTGTGCTGGTACCATACCATCAGTCATGCTATGCTGGTACCATACCATCAGTCATGCAGTACTGGTACCATACCATCAGTCATACTATGCTGGTACCATACTATCAGCCGTGGTATGCTGGTACCATACCATCAGTCATGCTATGCTGGTACTGTACCATCAGTCATGCTATGATGGTACCATACTATCAGCCATGGTATGCTGGTACCATACCATCAGTCATGCAGTACTGGTACCATACCATCAGTCATGCTATGCTGGTACCATACTATCAGCCATGGTATTCTGGTACCATACCATCAATCATGCTATGCTGGTACCGTACCATCAGTCATGCTATGCTGGTACCATACTATCAGCCATGGTATGCTGGTACCATACCATCAATCATGCTATGCTGGTACCGTACCATCAGTCATGCTCTGATGGTATCCTAGTATTATTCATCATTTATGCTGAGGCAATATTATGTACCACTCTACATATTGTGAACTTTCTCTACCTTCTACCAAAATTCATACAGTCCTTCTCATGTGTGCTATAACATACAGACTCTCTATTTATTCCTTCCTACCATATTGTGCCATACACAGTCGTATACTCCTATTTGCTGTTTTGTGCCATACAGACACACTTGTGTACTTCTGCTTGCCAATTTTAACCATACAGGCTACATTTCATAATTTTTTAAATAGCTTAAATTTCGCATGTGTCTTGCTCTGTCCAGGTTTCCCTCTCATAGATTAAAGGTAAAAGGAATTTTGTGTCATGTTTTCTAGTTTTTGCTTGCTTAGTATAATTAGTCTCTAACAGTTATTCATGGAGACTTGTTGGCTTTTTTTGTTCCTTTGTTTTACTCTCTCATATTTTTGCTTCTGTTATTTTAACCCTTAAATGGTCCAAACGTATATATACGTTCACTCGCGCAGCGCCCGAAATATTTTGAATCTTTTTTTTTTTTTTAAGAAAAAAAAAAGAATACATTTTTTGAGATGTTTTAGAATAAAAAAAAATAGGGTCAGTACTTACTGAGATATGAGGCCGAGAAGTTGGCACTGGATGCTCATGTGACAGCAACATCGAGTCCTGCCGCTTGCAGAAGTGTTGCCGATATACCTTTTTTTCTATTTTTCATATTATTTTATGTAATTTTTATGTTCTGATAATTACAATTTGTAGTAGTTCTTGTCATTTTATAACCAATCTTTGTTCTGACACTAGTATTAGGTACTGAAATTGTAATCAAATTGTCACAAACACACTCACAGGTGGACATTTACACCTGCCTTGGTCATTTACTATTGTCCTGGAATATATACAAAGTATTTATATTTCCCAGCAATGTTTTGGATATGTGGAAGTATATAATAACAATGAGGAGGAGGAGAAGGAGAAGGAGAAGGAGAAGGAGGAGGAGAAGGAGAAGGAGAAGGAGGAGGAGAAGGAGAAGGAGGAGGAGAAGGAGAAGGAGAAGGAGAAGGAAGAGGACGAGAAGGAGGAGGAGGAGAAGGAGGAGGAGGAGGAGAAGGAGGAGGAGAAGGAGGAGGAAGAGAAGGAGGAGGAAGAGAAGGAGGAGGAAGAGAAGGAGGAGAAGGAGAAGGAGGAGAAGGAGAAGGTGAAGAATAATACGTAATAATAATATGTAATAATAAGTTCCCTCGAAGCATGAAAAACAAAGTCCACCCCTGACAGTGACATTATAAGATAAGATAACATCTGATAAGAGCTGACATTTGATGAGCATACACGAGGGTGAGGGAGGGTGCAGCTGATAAGAAAAGATTAGAGGTGATATTTGATGAGCATCACCCTCACTTTGTTTTCGATGGTACACAAACATGTCTGTCTGTCTATTTGTCCGTCTGTCAAGCTCCCTGTCTATCTGTCTAGCTCTCTGTCTCAGAGAGAGCCACAAGACTGTGTCATCATGTTACTCACATCTTCAAGCAGAGTATAGCACTTTGTCTGGATTTTTTGGGTTATCCTAGGTAATTTACACTATGTATACTTGTATTTATGTGTTCCTGTGAGACAGAGATAGACAGAAAGAGAGAGACAGACAGACAGAAAGAGAGATCCAGAGACAGATAGACAAAGACAGAGGTAGACAGAGATAGAGATAGACAGAGATACAGAGATAGACAGACCCTAAACTTGGGGTTAACATCACTTTCCTCTTAAAAGAGGAGTGTTAATATGACATTACATCAGTGAATTCTTGGTGTTTACCGCACTGTTTGCTCTAGCTGGCGCTCAATTTAACTAGCACTCGCACAAGGTACTAAGTGGTCCCAGATTTTTTTAATACCGCGCACACTGAGTGTTAGGACCCATTCTATGCTGACAAGCCATCTCAGGCTAATCGTGCTAAATTTGAAGGCAGGAAAAATAAAACGTATATATACGTCTGGGGCGCTACGCGTAAGAAAGTATATATACGTTTGGACTATTTAAGGGTTAAGTTTGCATGGCATTCATCTCAGATATTCAACTTCTTTGACTTCTTCAGTTACCTCACACATCTCACTCATAAATTCCATCACATTTTGTATATTTCCTCATTATCTTCATTTTTTTACCTTAATTTTTCTGTCCCACCTATTCTAAAATCCCGAGTAATTATCTTCTTCCAAATTCTTCCATTGATTTAATCATTCCCTGGCTAGTGGTTATATGCTGTACATTTGGGAGGAAACAATACAAGTAAGACTTGTACTGTTTCCTCCCAAATGTCTCCATTGACTGTGTTATTTATAATATCTGCCTGTACTGTACCTTACTGAAATTTGCTGACATGTGGAATGCTTCACCACCACAAGTAGTAATGTTGCACACCATCTAACTTCCTCTTCTTATTTTATAGTTTAACACAGTCTACTTCTTGCACATCTACAAAATGTTAATATAATGAGCATTTATTTTTGGTTTTCTTTCTTTGCACATTATACAGAATTACTGGATGATGCAGAAGAAGAGTGGAGAGCCACGATCATATCATTACCCTCAAGACCATATTACATAGTTTATCTATTAAAGAAATGTACCAGTAATCCACCACTGTTGATAATGAAATCTGTGTTAATCATTCAGCAAGTCTACTCCAGATTTACTTGTGTGGAAATATTTAGCCTCGAGGAAATAATCAGTTATTAATGAATCAAAATGTTGATTGTTAATAAAAAGAATATGATTGTCATGCCACAACAGGTGGACTCCTGCATGAGCTGAGCAATGAAGGTGCTCGCCAACAATTTGAAGGGTTCTTAGAGGATCACATACTTCCCCTCATGGTGTTAGCTGCCCAACGTGGTGACCGGGAATGTCATATTGTCATACTGTTAGATGATGACACAGTGGAGTGGGATGATGATTATCCTCCACAGATGGGGGAGGAATACAGCCAAAGTAAGTCTCTCTTTTATAATTTTTTCAATAGTTCTGAGTATTTTCTGTTAATTTTAATGAAGAATGAGTCACAAAACCATAGCTGCATCAGTTCACAATCAATCCCAACAATTAGACATGAAATTCAACAAAGCTACTCTTCATCCTGGACCATGATCAAGCTGTAATATATACAGCCTCTCCTTACTTAATGATAGAGTTCCTTTTCTGAGACCATATTGTTAAATGAATTCATTGCTAGGTGAGGAGCATACTATAATGGTAGTTGGTTTGTGTCAACAATCTTGGATATTCTTTTAATGTCATCTTTGCACCATTTATAACATGTCTGATATATTTTTCAATGTTTATACAGTGGTGTACTGTATATTGGAATAAACAGAATGGAGGAAATTAGCTCTAATATACATTATTTAGGTATAAATGCTGGTCAAAGAGCCCATCATAAGTCTGAGGCGTCGGTAAAAGAGTACGTTGCTAAGTGAGGAGAGGCTATATATAAATTTGAAAACAAATGTCATTCATGTTTTTTGGCTTGAATTTTTTCCCAGGATAAATATACATATATTTTATTCAGTGTGATTAACCATAAGTTTCTCCAGATTAAGGTGTATTTTTTTCTTTTTCTAGCTATTTGCTCAACAGCAATGTACCGTTTCTTCAAGTACATAGAAAACCGAGATGTTGCCAAACAAGTGTTAAAGGAGCGAGGTCTTAAGAAGATTCGCTTGGGCATTGAAGGCTATCCTACATATAAGGAAAAGATTAAGAAAAGGCCAGGTAACAGCAACCTAAGTAACTGTCCTGAAATACTAATTATATAAGTAATTTGACTGGGAGCTAAGTGGGATTATGTTAATTATTGTTCTGGAAAGTGACCAACACAACATAAAACAACTGATCCCTCAACCTGTAGCTAAATGTGAGGCATAACCTTGCCTTACTGTCTTGCTTGTTGTGTGGTAGTGACTCCAGATTCAAGACATGATCTATCCATAGTTTTAATGCCTATGCTCTGAGTGGCTAACTTTTTCCTTGATAGGGAAGCAGCAAATAAATGTTTGTAATTATATTAATGATATTAAATACTGGTATCATTTACCATTATTATAATGATTCTTATTTGACACATTTTTACCTCAATGGCTGTCTCCCACCAAGGCAGTGAAAGCCCAAGAATGAAACACATTCACCATCTATCTTGTCAAAAGTGTGCTGACATCACAGTTCAGATTACTGTCCAACTACAACATCCTCACCCTCTCTTTCAGAATGGCAGACATTGCCCTTCTTAACTCCAGCTAACCTGTTTCCCTAAATCCTTTCATAATTAATACCTTTTTCACTCTCCAACAGCTTGTCCATTATAAACAACTTATCTCCATTCATTCTTATCTAACATGTTCATCCAAATTTGCTGGATGTTCAGACCCCATAATATTCAGTGACTCTTTTACACTTTCTTTCCAGCTGTTTCTAGGATGACCTCTACCCCTCCTAAATTCGACACTAAATATCTTCACCCTCTTTGTCAGCTTATCCTTCTCCATTCTCTCTAACCTCTTAACTGTCCAAACGTAGACCTACATTTGCTCGTGTAGAGCTCCGAACGTAGATCTACTTTTTTTACATGCTTTCAAATGGAGAAAATCAAGGTTAGAGCGCTATGTGCGAAAACATAGATCTACATTTGGACAGTTAAAGGGTTAAAGGCCCAACAACATCATCAGCTCTTCTTCTGCTCTAAATTATACTCTACTATCTACTGCATGGTGTAGCTTGAGGTTCTAACAGCATTTTGAGCTTCTATATTGCTTTGATTTATGAAAGCATAGATTATTTAATGCTGGTAAAATACTGTATGTTCTTCCTTTGAGGAATTCTTAATAATAAAGGTATCTAATACAAGTTTGACATCATGGAATGCATGGCTCCTGTTTTATCACCAATATACAGTGGTCCCTCGATAATCGTAAGGCTCAATAGTCGTAATTTTCGAAAATCTTAACGTTATTTTCATCAAAACATTGGCTTGCGAATCATCATTTGACTCGCACTCCATTCCCAGCCAGTGTGCCATTGTTTATCAGTGAGTGAGGATGATCCCACGAGTTCATACCATACATTTCATAATATTCCATTAGTTTTAGTGCTTGCAACTGCTAAATAAGTCACCTTGGCTCCAAAGAAAGCTTCTATTGCCAGCCCTTTGGTAAAGAATGTGAGAAACACATATAATTTAACAAAAAGTTTGTAGAAAAATACGAGGGTTTAGTTATAGGTAATACATATTTTAAGAAAAAGAGGATAAATATGTATACAAGATATGATGTAGGGCAAAATGACAGTACTTTGTTGGATTATGTATTAGTAGACAAAAGACTGTTGAGTAGACTTCAGATGTACATATTTATAGAGGGTCCGCAGGTATATCAGATCACTTTTTAGTTGTAGCTACACTGAGAGTAAAAGGTAGATGGGATACAAGGAGAATAGAAGCATCAGGAAAGAGAGAGGTGAAGGTTTATAAACTAAAAGAGGAGGCAGTTAGGTTAAGATATAAACAGCTATTGGAGGATAGATGGGCTAATGAGAGCATAGGCAATGGGGTCGAAGAGGTATGGGGTAGGTTTAAAAATGTAGTGTTAGAGTGTTCAGCAGAAGTTTGTGGTTACAGGAAAGTGGGTGCAGGAGTGAAGAGGAGCGATTGGTGGAATGATGATGTAAAGAGAGTAGTAAGGGAGAAAAAGTTAGCATATGAGAAGCTTTTACAAAGTAGAAGTGATGCAAGGAGGGAAGAGTATATGGAGAAAAAGAGAATGGTTAAGAGAGTGCTGAAGCAATGTAAAAAGAGAGCAAATGAGAGAGTGGGTGAGATGTTATCAACAAATTTTGTTGAAAATAAGAAAAAGTTTTGGAGTGAGATTAACAAGTTGAGGAAGCCTAGGGAACAAATGGATTTGTCAGTTAAAAATAGGAGAGGAGAGTTATTAAATGGAGAGTTAGAGGTATTGGGAAGATGGAGGGAATATTTTGAGGAATTGTTAAATGTTGATGAAGATAGGGAAGCTGTGATTTCATGTATAGGGCAAGGAGGAATAACATCTTGTAGGAGTGAGGAAGAGTCGGTTGTGAGTGTGGGGGAAGTTCATGAGGCAGTAGGTAAAATGAAAGGGGGTAAGGCAGCTGGGATTGATGGGATAAAGATAGAAACATTAAAAGCAGGTGGGGATATAGTTTTGGAGTGGTTGGTGCTATTAATAAATGTATGGAAGAGGGTAAAGTGCCTAGGGATTGGCAGAGAGCATGCATAGTTCCTTTGTATAAAGGCAAAGGGACAGAAGAGAGTGCAAAAATTATAGGGGGATAAGTCTGTTGAGTATACCTGGTAAAGTGTATGGTAGAGTTATTATTGAAAGAATTAAGAGTAAGATGGAGAATAGGATAGCAGATGAACAAGGAGGCTTTAGGAAAGGTAGGGGGTGTGTGGACCAGGTGTTTACAGTGAAACATATAAGTGAACAGGGGGATGTATGAGAGTATAGTTTTACCAATGCTCTTATATGGTTGTGAAGCATGGGTGATGAATGTTGCAGCGAGAAGGCTGGAGGCAGTGGAGATGTCATGTCTGAGGGCAATGTGTGGCGTGAATATAATGCAGAGAATTTCATAGTTTGGAAGTTAGGAGGAGGTGCAGGATTGCCAAAACTGTTGTCCAGAGGGCTGAGGAAGGGTTGTTGAGGTGGTTCGGGCATGTAGAGAGAATGGAGCAAAACAGAATGACTTCAAGAGTGTATCAGTCTGTAGTGGAAAGAAGGCATGTTTGGTAGGAGTGAATGGAGACAAATGGTTTTTAATACTTGACGTGCTGTTGGAGATTCCCTGAATCCCAACAGGGATTCAGGGAAACTGGCAAGCCGGACTTGAGTCCTGGAGATGGGAAGTACAGTGCCTGCACTCTGAAGGAGGGGTGTTAATGTTGCAGTTTAAGAACTGTAGTGTAAAGCACCCTTCTGGCAACACAGTGATGGAGTGAATGATGGTGAAAGTTTTTCTTTTTCGGGCCACCCTGCCTTGGTGGGAATCGGACAGTGTGCTAATAAAAAAAATAAAATAAAATGCATATAAATGCCAGATAAGTTTACACTAACACACATTAAGTTAGCAATAGAACTAGGCATTAAATACAATAAAAAGTATAATACACACACTGTACACCCAGTACTTACCTTAAAATATTTGTAGTCTTAATGTAGGGTGAGAAGTGAGTTTTATTTGTAGGAAGTCAGGTTTGGGAGGTATGGTAGCCAGCCAGTTCAGCCCACCCCACCCTACCTACATGTACTATGCTAGGGCATTTAATTAAAGCGCCCCAGAGTGGTAAAATACATACACAGTACATTCATTAATTACCTTAAAATATTTGTAGTCTTAATGTAGGGTGAGAGGTGAGCTTTATTTGTAGGAAGTCAGGTTCAGGAAGTATGGTAGACAGCCATGGCAGCCTTTCCCATCCCACCCCACCCACACGTAATGTAAACAAACCAAGCAAACATGTCTGGTGTTCGTTCATACACGTTTGTATTATACCTTAACCCTTTCAGGGTCCAAGGCCAAAATCTGAAGTGGTGCTCCAGTGTCCAAGAAATTTTGAAAGAAAAAAAAATTATATTTTTTTACAGAATTAAAGAGTATATTTTTGTGAAGGTAACAAGACAAAAAAAAAAAATTTCTGATCAGTACTTACCGAGATACAGTGCCAAGAAGTTTACCTAAAATGACTGGGTGGCGGCAACATCGACGATTTCCACATACGCGCATTACTTTATTTAACGTTTTTTGTATTTTTTTCTTTTCTTTTCTAATTTTTTTCTTTTCCTACTAACATTTGGGGCCTGGGAGACCAATACTGTATATAATGTTTATATATAAACTCACTGTATTGAACACAATAACTGCACTAAAGTTATTATCGTATTATTGTTTACCACTTTTGTTTATTACAATAAACATGCACAAATCTTGTATAATACTAATGTTCTATCATATATTTACAATCACTGGACATGGTTTTAGAACTGCTGGAGCTTGTGGAAGTCCTTGAAACAAGGCACCATGCACAGAGGTACCTTACATTCCTTGCACATAAACTGAGTGTCTTTGCGTCTTTGTTGCTGTCGTTTTGTTTGTGCACAGACAATGCATCTCTTCTGAGCAAATTTCTTCTTAGTTGAAGGAAGCTGTATTATGAAATGATCACCTTCCCTCCTCAAGCGCTTGGGTATATTCTGAGGAATTCGAGGACCTTGTTGTATAGCAGGTGTTGTTACCTGGTACTTCATTATGAGTTGTCTAACAACAGACAAACAAAATTCACCATACGGTGTTCTGTTGCCAGTCTTCATTTGGTACATATTATATGCATTGAGCATTGAAATGTCCATGAGATGGAAGAAAAGTTTCATGTACCACTTGTAACTCTTACGAACACAATCAACAAAGCCAATCTGCATGTCACATTTGTCAACCAAGCGCATGTTTTGTGTATAATCAATCACTGTCACTTTTTTTTTGAATATGTTCATTAGTCACTCGATCAGCTTTGCCACTGTCTTGCATTTCGTTACGGTGAATGGTTGTCAACAATGTGACATCTCATTTGTCATGCCACCGTAATGCCATGGTGTCATTGGCAGTAAACACCTGCACGTCATCACCACGAGCACCTGCGTTGAACCTGGGCATATGTTTACAATTAGAATGCACTGTGCCACACACAT